CCATGTTCTAGAAGAGTTTCTATCTGACGTTTCGCCAGCATCTGTGGCCAGCATCTTCAGAGAAAAAATGTTTAATGTTTAATGCATCTAGTCTGATTCTGTCATAGGCATACATACTAAAAACAAGAGTCCTGTGCCAACCTGAAGACTAACCTGAAGATTATCAAGGCATACATTTTCTTGGAAGGAGAGTTAGGGTTGTTGCCAAGTGAAATAATGGACCGGGCTCCTGTGCCTTTAATAGTTGTGCAGAAGAGGGAATTTCAGCAACACTTACTGAAATTCGCTCTTCTACACAACAATTAAATAAAGTCATGTCCCTCATTTCACTTGGCAACTCTAAGACACCTTACTTCCTCAGATGCATGATATCCATCTTAAAGTGTGGAAAACGCTGGGAAATGGGGAAATTCCATTAATACATTTTTGGTGTGTATTTTTAGAGCACCACATGAGTCTTGTTTTTGCTGAAGCTTAAGTACTATAGGAGTAGTGGTTTGAGCATTGGACTGTGAAGAGCAGGGTTCAAATCCATGCTCAATCATAGGCAAGTGACATTCTCACAGCCTCTGAGGAAGGCAAAGGCAAACCCTCACTATACATCTATAAGGTTCTGACTTATAGCAACCCTATATCCGAGTTTTTCTTGGCAAGGTTTGTTCAGAGGTGGGTTGCCTTTCCCTTCCCTTGAGGCTGAGAGAGTGTGGCTTGCCCAAGGTTAACCAGAGGGTTTCCATCCATGGCCAAGCAGGGATTTGAACCCTGGTCCCCAGAGTCCAATCCTACGCTCAAGCCACTAACCAAGCTGGCTCTCAAAACTTGACATTATTTTCTTTGATTTTTATAGTGGTGAGAGCCATTGTGTAGTGGTTTGAGCGTCGGACTATAACTCTGGAGAACAGGGTTCAAATCCCCATTCAAGTAGTTTTTAAAAAAAAAAAACAACATTGGACGACCTTGGGCAAGTCACACTCTCTCAAGCCTCAAGGGAAGGCAAAGGCAACCCACCTCTGAACAAACCTTGCCAAGAAAACTCCATGATAGGTTTGGCTCAGGGTTGCCTTAAGTCAAAAATAGCTTGGAGGTACACAATAACAAAAGCAGAGAAATCTTTGGTATCACTTCATGACTGGAATAAAGTTACTTAGAATTCCAGTACTGTTTATTAACCAGTGTGGCATAGTGGTTTGAGTGTTAGACTACAATTTTGGAGACCAGGGTTCGAATCCCTGCTCAAACATGGAAATCCCATTCCTTGGGCAAGTCACACTTTCTCAGCTTCAGAGGATAGCACAGGCAAACCCCTCTGAACAAATCTTGCCAAGAAAACCCCCATGATAGGTTCATCTTAGGGTTGCCATAAGTTAAAAAAAATACTTGGAGGCACACAACAACAACAAAATTAAGTATTCAAGCGGCTGTAACTTGCACAACCAGATACACCTTCTGAAATAATTCCTATCACGATGGTTTTTATGGAGCAAGTGGGTTTTTAGTTATGCATTTAACTTTTGTATATTTTAAATGTGATTTTATATTGTGTGTAGATCATTTTAATTATTTTGGATTTTACTGAATGTTTTTTAAAAAAAATTAAATATGTAAGCCACCTTGGGTCTCTAATGGGAGAAAGG